TGTGGTAAACTGTGGTCAATGACATAAAACAAAGTATATGTGAACTGCTATATGGAAAGTGAATTTGCTCTGTAAATCTTCACCCAAATCAAAATTAAAAAAAAAAAAGAGAGAGATATTGACATCCAAAAATCAATGCCTAAATTCATCCTTTCCCTTTCTGTCATCAGAGAATGTGCAGCTAAAATATCTCAATATTACTCAGAAGCTTCTAAGAGATCATATATTTCAATCTGCATTTAAGTTGACTAAATGTACCTAACAGCACATTTTAAGTACCATGCTGTTTTCCCTGATAGAATGTATGGGCATACCTATAGGGATTATTATCCCATTATTCTGGTGGGGAAATTAACATTGACCTCACAAATGAGTTTCGTCATAAAATTAGATGGAGAACAACACCAGGGTCTAGAACCTGGCTGCTCGAAATGTGGTCTGGGAACCAGAAGCATCAGCTTTACCTGGGAGCTTGTTAGAAATGCAGTTCTATCAAGTTGATTCCAACTCATGGTGACCTCATGTATATTAGAGTAGAATTGTGTTCCACAGGGTTTCTAATGACTGATTTTTTAGACATAGATTGCCCTGCTTGTCTTATGAAACACTTCTGGGTGGACTCGAACCTCAAATTTTTGGTTAACAGTCACGCATGTTAACCATTTGCACCACCCAGGGACTCCAGACCTCAATCAGCACCTGCAATTAACAAACTCCCGAGGGGATTCTCAATACTTTTGAGTTTGAGTAGCACTCTGTCTACAGCTCAGCATCCTTTCCTAAAATCCAAATACCGTTTTCTTTCTTCAAAGTTAACAAATTTGTTACCATGTCCTCTTGTTTTAGTAAATGTATACTTTTGTGTGGTTAACCTATACCTATCACTCATGCTTTAAGTGGAGGAATATCTGATTGATTCTGGAGAACATTTACCAGGACATTGCAGAAATAAAATTGCATGTCACACATACTGTCTTAGATATGCTCTGCTTTATAAGGGATCCAGTTTTAATGAACAATTGTTGCTAACGATTGCCAAGACTGGAGAAGAGAGAGAGAGGAAAGAAAGAGGAGGCATACTTCTAAAACAGACCAAACTCTTATTTACCAGTTTTCTGCTTGTACAAATTTTCTGGAAAGTATCCATCATTTCAGAGGTCTCTGTGTACATCACTTTACCTATGGTAGTTTAGGCATGTGAGCCCTTTCAGGAAGCCAAACCACACTCCAAGGACGTCACTGTCTCAACCAGTGAACACAGGTGGTACAGACCCAACTCTTCTCTAATGAAAACAACTTCAAGAGCTTAAGTACCTAGGAGACCAAGAGCCTCACCTGCTCTTCACCTCTGGGGAAACAACTATACTCAATATTGTTTTCTGCCTATGCCTTTCTTACTCTATGCTAATAGTCATGTCATTATTGAGAGTTAAAAAAGACAAGGTAGACCCACCTGGAATCTCCGCATGTCACGGGGATTTCCTGCATTCTTTAGGCAATTTTGGTTACATTTGAGGAAAAATTTCAGGAAGAACCTGTGAAGAAATAAATCATTGGGGTTAGCATTTTAGTTTTGGCGTGGGAAGGAAACAAGCAGTAAAGCATGTCTAGATTGTGCACTTTATTCTCCTTGTGCATTTTCAGAAATATTCAGAAAGGTGTTGGAGTCGCTATATATCATTTGAGTTTTTAGCCTTTGTTGTCCTTCCCACATGGACCTTCTTCATGGCTCCCAGTACAACCAACAGATCTCACAAAAGGATTGCAATGCTAAGCCCCCAAGGAAGTCATCACTATAATTTAAGGCAGGTTCCAATTGGATATAATTGTCTGAGAATTACTCATGGTCCCCAACAACAACATGCAATGTAAGCCCTATAAATTCACAGATAATGAACCAGCAAAGCACCTGCTGGCTGCATATAAGGATACAGTAAACACTTTTTATCTTAGCATCTCCAAATAAAATGCTCTAATTGATAGTGGTTATAGAAAGTAAGATTCACACACTGATTAAACTCATTTGACTTAGATATTTCCTACGTTTAGACTGCCTGCTATTCCATTTGTAATTGAATAAGGAATATAGCATGGAATGAGATTAATATGAACTGCAACAATGACAGCAATTATACAGTAATAACAATTGTTTTATGAGAGTAATTATTCTCCATCAACAAAAAAATGGATAAAAAATGTAGCACATACACACAATGGAATATTATTCACTCATAAAAAGGAATTAAGTTCTAATTTATGCTACAACGTGGATTAATCTTGAAAACATTATGCTGCATGAAAGAAAATATTGTATTTCACTTAAATGAAATACTTAAAACCAAAACACCAATCTTGTTGCTGGGACATCAATTCCAACTCATAGTGACCCTATAGGACAGAGTAGAACTTCCCCACAGGGTTTCCAAGCCTGTAATCATTACAGAAGCAGACTGCCACATCTTTATCCCACAGAGCTGTTGGTGGGTTTGAACCACCAACCTTTCAATTAGCAGCTGAGTGCTTTAACCATTGAGCAACCGGTGCTTCTTACATGAAATACCTAAAATAGGCAAGGTCATAGAGACTGAAAGCAGATTACTGGTTATCAGAGGCTGGGAGGAGAGGGGAATGTAGAGTTATTGCTTAATAGGTACAGAGTTTCTATTTGGATGACAAAAGTATTTGAAAATAAATAGTTGTGAAGGTTCACACCATGATTTATGTAATTAATATTAATCATTAAATTGTACACTTAAAAATGGCTAAAATGGAAAATTTTATGCTGTATCTATTTTACCACAATGAAACACTATTCAAAAAAAGAATAATTGTGCTAATAAGAGAAGTTGTTGTTATTGTTATTATTATCACTATAACAGCAGTGTGAATATTATCAAGGGGGAAGTCATTGACATTCTCCTTCCAAGAGCCACCATCCCTGGTCCCCATGGTTGACAATATTTGCCGCCTGTGTGTGTTTAAGCCATTTGAGCCCAGCTCCGACAGCCAGATTGAGGTTGTGTTAGAAGGAGCTGTCAGCACACGCTCTGGCATCTTCAGATCAGACAACTGCTAGCCACCATGAGGGGGTCCATCTGGTGCCAAAATGGATTTTGAAAGGCAGGCAAGCAGGGCGCTAATGCTGCCAGAGAGAAACAGAATCAAGGGAGCTGGGGATCTTCTGCTTCAGGGGAGAGCAGAGCTGAGGTGCCTGTCAGCAGCCCATCGTTAGCACAAAAGCTATGCTGGGCACACACCGGATTCCTGTTACCCTAACCTGCCCTGTCACTTGGCATGTTGGCAGAATCCCTGCCCACCCTCTGGACAACGGATCACTTGCTGAAATTAAAGGACTGACCATCTGTCGTGGGGAAGAGACGACCGTCAACTGGTGCCTGGGGCCTTACACAAGCCCTTATGTGGCAAAGACACTTTAAAGGGACTATTCTTTTGGGGAAAGCCAGCCCTACCCCAAGGGGAGCCTCAGGAATTCTCTCAAAGTTTTCCCCTAAGTAGGAGCCAAGTATCTGACCCTTTCGGATCACACTTCCTTAAAGGAACAGAGAGAAGTTACAAGTAGGAGTTAAAAATAACCTCCAAAGACAGACACAGTTCGATGAAGCATAGAAATTTGGGTGATGATTTATAGGGCTAAGTTTATCAGGAATTTGTAAACGTGAGGACATACGCACGTCTGCTGGCCTATGGAGAAGATCTCAGATTCTGAGGGGGCTTTTAACAAAGCAGGGGCTATTGTAACTCAAAACCTCACTTTGCTCTAAGGAATTACCACGTTTTGTGCAGCGGGTGTGTTTTATAAAGTGTTGTCAGGAGAAAGAGAGAGGCAGCCTCTCCCCAACTGTGGGAAACTGACCCACTGTAGGACAAAGCCTCTATTTACCCTGTAAGTTCCATAAACTCCAGGAAATAGCCCAACAGGGATCAAACTCCTTTTAACTCAAGTTGTTTTTTTTTTTTTTTTTCTTTTTCTCTTTTTAGGGCAAGAAACCCAACACCTTTCCGTTAACTTTCAATACCAATAATATCATGTTGTATTCATGCAGTGTGTTATTTTATTCTAAGCTCTTATGTCCCCAGAATCTAACTGAATCCTCATGCAAGTTCTATACATTAAGCAAGTCAAGAATTATTTACCTTTTTGAAAGGCAAGAAAACTAAGACCTAACAAAATTAAAGTATTTATCTACTGTCAAAAACAGGGAAGGGCAATGTACCAAAAGTGAGTGATCAGCATGGTGGCACTGAGGAAGAGGATGACATAGAGCTGTACACGGGAGAAGCAGCTAACAGAGATGAACCCTTTTGCATGTATAGTACTGAGGTGTCAGTGATGGTAAGCATTGATTGATAGATGGGTGGACGGGCTAAATGATCAGGTATGTCTAGGCAGGAAGTAGTGTGCCCATAACCATGTATAGGGTTGGCAGATGATGTTTCTACATGAGTATGTGTATATACTGTAAGAATATGTAGGTCTACAGTAGATCTGACAAGGGGTGAGGTTATGGTGGCTTCTTGGCCACAGCCAGCTACTCAGAGGGAGTGAGTAGTTGGACCTGTGGGCTTGGGACCATGGTCGCAGGGAACATCAAGCTCAATTGGCATAACATACTAAACAAAAACATTGTTCTATCACCTACTTTGGCAAATAGCAACTGGGGTCTTAAAAGCTTCCAAATGGCCATCTAGATGCAACAATGGGTCTCTCCTCATCCAGATTAAAGAAGAATGAAGAAAACCAAAGATGCATTGAAACAATTAGTCCAAGGAACTAGTAGACCATGCAACCCTCAGCCTACATGATCATGAGACCAGAAGAACTAGATGGTGCCGAACTACCACTGTCAACCTCTCAGAGGAATTGGTGCAAGAGATTCTGGATAGAGTGGGAGAACAATGTGGAACAAAACTCAAAATCATAAAAAGAAAAAAGATCAGATTTGCTGGTCTTTTTAAAGCCTGGTGAGACCCCTGAGACTATGGCCCTGAGTTACCCTTCAGGTCTGGAATTGAAGTCACTCTTGTAGCTTCCAGCCAAACAATAGACAGGCATATGGGACGAACATTTACATCAGGTAGATACATTCCTTAGAGCAATCCATCATGGAGAACAGAAAGGCAGTGTTTGCACAGGAACTTAACCCAGGGGGTGGGAGTGCATGGGAGGGAGGGACACAAGGAAGAGGTAACTATGAGGAGGAAGAGAAAAGAAAAAAAAAAAAACTAATAATCCTATATTGACCAAAAATATGGATTTTCTATGAATTATATGACTTTATAAGTAATTTTTACTACCATTTAGTCTAACTTCCTCATCTTGCATATGAGAAAATAGAAAGATCAGAAGACTTTGACAATATTCACACAGTTAAAATAGCATGAGAGCTAGAAGTATAATCCACACATCATCAGTCCTCATTGACTTCAGCTAGGCAGAAGGGAAGGACACACTAGTTGTATGATTTTTCCAATATAATGCTATCCTCTCAAAAGCCAACCTAACAAGAAGCCAATGCAAACTATTGAACTTTTCCATCTACTACCTCAATTAAAAAAGTGACAATCATAAAACCAGAAGTGGCATTCTATTAAAAATTGTATATACGTTCATAAGGCATAGTTATCAGTTGGACTAATGTGGGACCTTAGCCCATCATTGAACATAAACTGAGCTGAACACAGACATTTGTAGAACAAAACTGTTTATCCAATGATTTTCTTGTATCACATTTTACCAACCAATGTTATCGTTGTTATGTGCCGTCGAGTCAGACCCAACTCATAGCGATCCCTCCTTGGGTTGCCGAGGCGATATCACTATGGAAGTAGATTGCCCCATCTTCCTTCCAAGGAGTGGCTGGTGGGTTTGAACCGCCAGCCTTCTGGTTAGCAGTCAAGTGCCTTAGGCACTATGCTACCAGAGTTCCCTTACCAACCAATAGATATGTAGTATATTCAGTAGCAACCATGTGACTAGTTCAATACTGGCTACCAAGAGGTAACTCTGGGTCCTCCCAAAAGGAAAAATAATTGAATTGGCAAACAGAAACCACTCCATCTATATGAAGATGGGAAATAATTATATATATATATATATATATATATATTTATAGTTATTTGTATTTCTAGCACATGACACCAGACCCAGAACATAGTGGGTTTTTGGTGAGCATTTGTTTAATTAAACAGAATCCAAGCCTTCCAAGGGGTAGAAATGGGAAGACCATCCAATAAAGACAGCAATAGAACATACTGGACAAGAACATGGGTTGGGAATAAGACAAGCTAAGACAACAAATTTGGACAGCTCCTTGAACCTCAATGGCCTCATCGTACCTCTTTCTTAGGACCACTGTGCTATTTTTATCATAATTCTAACTCTACTGCATAATGAATTGTGTGACTTTTAAGGCCTCAGTTTTTCTCATCTGAAAAATGAGGAAAATAACAGAACTTATTCAGAGGGTTACTGAGAACTAAATAAAATGACATATGTAAAGTACTTAAATTATAC